AAAAAAAAAAAAAAAAAATGAATTTACAAATGTTGAAGTAGAGGCTTTATGCTTTAAAATGAGACCAAATAGATATGATTCGTTTTTAACAAAGTTATATCAGTTCAAATTATTGACAATTTTTTATTGTTATTGGTACAATCATGCTCTCTTCATTATAAGTACATGTAAACTGACGGCGTTACTTTTGCATCAACTAGCAAGAAAATTCCTTTGTATCGGAACAAAGATGGAGTGTTCAGGAATTTGTTAAGACCTTGAACGTGACTAAAGATTCAATCAATCGTCGAACTTACTTTCCTATATCCGAATTGTCGACGTTGATGTACAGTTCGTCAAGATGATACGGTTCCAAAGGTGGAATACCAAGCTCTGGTATTCCGTATGGCATTCTAGCACGAATTTTCTCTATAACCCTTCGAATTTTGAATTCCAGACCCTTCGAGGCAGCGCTGTCAACTGTCCTTTAGTCAATTACTACTATCAACTGACTGATAATAAATACACTGGGACTCACAAAAATATTCAAACACCTCTAAAAACCTTTCACGACTTTTCAAATTATTTCAGATTCGTTTCAAACTTTTAGTTCCATTACTATGCCAATGAAACTAAAAGTTAACACTCATAAAAGGTTCTTGCAAATGTCCTAATACTTTCACGAATCACCGTGATTCAAAATACTTACTGTAGCCAGTAGTGAGTTTAGTCGCGTTGATGATGAGATTCTTCGGCGTCTCCACCGCAGTTGTAACTAAAACAATAGACAAGAATGTCGTTAATTTCCTGTCCCTTCATTAATTAACGCTTACCAGTATTTGTACCTGGTAGTTGAGATAAAGCGATTTAGCGTGTAGGGATTAATGGCAATGCAGAATATGCTCTTGCAAAAGTTCCCATATCGAAAAGATCAAAAATCGATGATAAATAAATAAGCTGATTTGACATAGGAAAAATAGGTCTGTAGGTTGTCCACATGCTTTGAAGTTGAAGTCATGGTTACTAGCTGATGTATATATTATTCTCAATGGAACAATACTTGAGCAGTATCAGAGAACTGATATAGCCAAAGTGAAGGTACTCCAGGAGAAGCTTCTTAATTTCTTTTGCAATCGTCTCCTATCGTAACTGTCTGACTGGATGTGACTATGTTAGCGACTGAAACTCGCATTAGACTGCCCATTAAAAATGCTGTTGCAGGTGTGGTGCAACTACAGGCTTTCTTACAGAAGCAGCTTTCCAAACTTCATTCCATCTTTGTAATATTATCCTTGGACTACTTGCCGGACAATTCAAAATGAATTCAATTAACATTGATATTGGATTAAATCTTAATTGAATTTCGACTGAATCTTTTAATACATATATCATGACTGAGATACGAATATTTAATTTACAAAATTACCCGACTAAAATTTAATGGTCCCAAAATAAATATTGACAATGAAATCGAAAAAAAAAAAAAAAACGTTTGATGGAATAGCTTGAAAATAATGATTCAGAGATATGTACACGTTTGGATGAAAGTTTCACGTACTGTAATTATTGGCTGTGTCCGTAACGCGATGTATCAATTCTTTCTGTCGTTGCATAAATCCTGACACTGCAACAAACGAGTAAACGCAAAGGTTTGCTCAAACACAATCCTTCTTTATACGAATGATCGATGAATAATCAATTTATCACCAACAGTTCGGCGTGGATACTTTGACCGATTACATTTCTTTGACACGTGAACAAAGATTCGAACGCTATTAACTAGGACAATAATTTCGAGATGAGATTGTCAACATCAAAGTAGACGATATTTGTAGCCTTCAATATTGAATATTCATTTCTAAAACGATTACTTCTCCTATAAATATTAAAATAATTCTTTTTTGATTGAATAATTGAAAATTTCTAAACAAAGAATAAGTATAGTAATAACAACCAGATAAATTATTTGCTACACTACATGATAATGAAGTTAATCGTGAAAATATTTTACATCATTTTCAAGAATTCACTGTTTCTAGAAATCTTTTACAACTCTGGTGACTAGTTTCGAAAAATACTTTATATTTTCAGAGAATAGTTTCAATCCAAGCAACGTATACAAGAAAGTCGTCAAATATAAAAAAATTCAATAATTCTTTTTATACATAACCATACACGGCCAGACGGAAAAGAATTAATTGACAACGAACATGCAAACAAGAAGTAGATACAAGATAAAAAAAAAAGTAGAAGAGAAAAAAAAACGAGGAAACAATTACCGGAGGCGACGCAATCAAGAACATCGGTTTACGTGCGTGATTTTTCAGAATAGCGTAATTGAGTTTGCACAGCGTAACTTCAGTAGTATAATGAAGCGATTCCTGTCGCACTATAATAAAATCTGTGAAGTCCACGTCGTTGAACGAAATGACGTTCAGATAAAAAAACACGAACCATGAATCATCCTGTTGTCCTACTGACTATAACTTATATATATATATAATATATAATTTATATAACATATTATATATATTAATATATAATATATAACATATTATATATATTATATAATATATTATACATATTTATATATAATATATATAATAATAATTTCAAATTCACAAATGATTATTATTTTTCATTCGAACAACGATTTGATCACCTACAAAAACCTAATTTCAATACAGAAAAATATACTTCTTTGCAGCGAGACTACAACAGAAATGATCTTTACATAAACTAATGCTAAGCTATGACGAACATGTAATTTAAAAAAAAAAGGCACTGTACATTGGAACTGACGTGAATAAATATTACTCTAAAAATGAAAAATAAACTATCATAACTGATTGATTTAATTACACTGGTAAGACTAGAAATGAATTTTTTTAATCGAGTTGCAATATCCCTCCAAGTGAAAGTATTCTCTTCTATAATAAGAACAGTTGGACATGGATGATCTTCACGATTGATTTCTCATCTTTCTACATTTTATTCCACTTCCACATTCTATAAATTGAAAATCAGAAGTTATTATCTTCTATCAGTGTACAAATTGGATTGAATTGTTTAAAATGGTTACGAAACAAATTCAGAATATTTCAATATATATTTTATATTTTATATTTCAAGTTCTCAATAAGTATTCTCAATAATATATATTTTATATTTCAAGTTGAATTAAAGTCAACTTGAAATATAAAATATATATAAAAAAAATAAAATAAAATTACAATTAATTTACACACTGAGAATCAATGGTGATTTTAAAATGAAAGATATTTTATTCTCTGACTTATACTATGTCATTCAAAATTTATTTCAAACAATAATAAGTATCGCTGAAATAAGAAAACAAACTTGCAATAATTTCCAATAATATATAATATGCAAAAAGATTACTTACGAAAATTACCAGCACTGTTGGCTACATTTTCAATTCCTCCTAAAAATCCTGGAAGACCTTCTGATTGAGAGGAAATCATCTGAATACCCAGCATCAAAATGATAATTTCCTTCAGTAGATGCATTGTTCTGATCACTTATTTGCCACAGAAATGATCAAACACTGAAAATTAAATTCTGATATACTGTTTGTTTAGAAGACTGACTACATGATACAGAAGAGACCTACCATTTAAACCGCTCCCGAAGAAGCAGGAAAGCCGACTGGCTACATCAAAGAGTAGCAATGCGTCAGTAAGTCAGCTGGTGCGGTTTGTGTGTATATTTGTGATGTGTGAGTAATGCACGTGCAGGCACGTTCAGCGAAAGCGAATGCTATAGCAAGGTCCACAAAGAGTGTTCCATACACTTTGATACACACTACTAACAATCTTGCATGACTGAATGAATATTATTAATGAAATTTTGTCAGTCACATGTTAAAATAAAAAAGTGCCAAGTCTAATGATAAATTTTCTTAATTAAAGCTCATGTGACTGATGATATATGAAATTATAAAACATAATTATAAAATATGAATATGAACCTGAAATCATAAAATATAAATATGAACATAAAATTATAGAATATAAATATATGTTTGTAATATCTGATTTCTATGATTTTGGATTGGTCATTTCATGAAACATATACTGTAATAATAAAAATAATAATAATACTGTAATAATAGTAATATTTTAATAATAATAATAATGATAATAATATACTGTAATAATAATAATAAAAGATATAAATGAAAAACAATTTATACAAAATGCATATAAAACATAGAAATATATACTAATACCATTCACAATATACATATATATTACAATATACATATATATACATATATATTAGTATATATAATACATGAGTGTATTTAATTATAATTAATTATTTAATTATGCACTATATAAAATTATAATATATATAATAATAAACATTGGACTGATGCACCTGTAATTTCGCTTAAAAAATAGTAATTGATCTTTGTATCTCTTTGAAATACACGTCCACCTAGAGATTAATTACACAAAAATTTAATTTTTCAAATAATAAACAGCTATGAATATGCATTTGTAGATTAAAATGGAGCAACCTGTATATAAAATAATTACAAATGATTATAATAAAATAATATAATAACATCATAAATAAATCATAGTTAAAAAGTGTCAAGCTATATGCAGCAAGCAAAAAAGCAAGCTATAAGCATATTCCAAACAATGCGGTAAACAAGTGTAAAATTTCACACAAGGCAGCAAATAAGCGTATTTCACACAAAGCAGCAAGGAAGCGTATATTCTGAAGCATATTCTATAATGTATTCTATATAATACGATCAAAACAACTACATAATTAATATATAAACACTCTCTAATAATCAATCATGCTGGACTACTATATGCTATGTGCAATACTTACAACAGATAAGTA